GTGATTGGTATTCTAGCATTCTGCTTCGCTACTTGTACTACGTGTGTGAGGTCAGTCCTTGTCAGGTCAGTCTTTGTATCTAAGTCTTCCCTGCGCTATTCAGCACTTTTGTATGTATGAGAATGCACATTGTCTGTCGAGATTCTACTCTCACCGCATTGTCCATTTCAGTCCTTTTTATCACACTGCAGTTCCTCGGTTATTACGAACATCACATATCTGTGCATGTAACAGACGGGACAGATTGGAAAGGAAGGGGGGGGAGATGGGGATTTTCTTCGTTCTTTCTTTTAATATGTGCCATGTACGTAGCATGGAGCTACTCACAGAGCTAATCTCCATTAAATCCTGTCCTGTATTCAATCTGTATATGGGACGCTGGGCCAGTTTCCCAGCAGGTGATGCTCCCCACCAATAGATGGAGCCTCTCCCCAGGTGTTAGTGGTGTCTGCTCTTATCAGCACCACTAACAAATTCAATCTGTATATGGGACGCTGGGCCCGTTTCCCAGCAGGTGATGCTTCCCACCAATAGATGGAACCTCTCCCCAGGTGTTAGTGGTGTCTGCTCTTATCAGCACCACTAACACTGGTGGGGGCGTGTTGTTCAAAAAAAAAAAAAAAACATCACTGTCGGGATTACGTCAAGCATTTATGTCTTCTATACTTCCTGGACGACATCTGGTTTTCTTTTGTATTGGATACTGAATTTCAGGGATGATTGAATCTTGGCTGATGCCTTGCTGATCGGTGGTGTTCTATGCTCTTGGTATCGATCGGTGGTGTTCTATGCTCTTCGTTTGCCGATCCCAGAACGACGCTGGCCGGTGCTGGGGCTTATTGCCATGTGACCTGTTTGTGTCAGGAGCTTGAGGCCTGGTGGAGAGATCTGGGGATTCGCCGAGGGAGGAAGGCAATCCAGTGGCGAACTGAGGGGTTCTGCTGTGACAACCTAAGGGGCCGGGTGCAGTCTTGGTAGTGAGAACACGACAGATTTGGGGGTATTGGTCAGGATGACTTCGTTCTTGAACTGTTGTGTCTGGTATAAGGGAGGCCAGGAATTGTTTAGGGGTTGTGAGGACAGGTTTTTGCTGATGTAGTCCATCCAGTCCAAGCGTAGTATCCCACTAATTATGCTATGTCATGCTTATCTCGGTTCCTCATATCTTAGGCCACATAATGGATACAAGATATCGAAGATGATTGCTGGCTGATGCTTCGTAGAGCTGTGGTGTTCTGTGCTCTTGGTTTACCGACGCCAGAACAACGCTGGCCGGTGCTGGGACGTTTTGTCCTGTAACCTGTTTGTAGCAGGAGTGTGAGGCCTGGTAGAGAGTTCTGGGGATTCGTCAAGGGAGGAAGGCGATCCAGTGGCGAACTGGGGGGGGCTGCTAGGACAACCTAAGGGGGCGGGTATAGTCTTGGCAGTGAAAGCACGACAACTATGCGTAGTGTTGGTTTAGGATGATTTTGTTTTTGGTGTGTTGCATCTGATATAGGGGAGGCTAGGAGTTGCTCATGGTTTGAGAAGCCAGGTGTCGTTGATGTAGTTCATAGTTCTCTCTAATCACTTCTGGGTCATCATCATCGTCAGCTCCATCATTATCATCATCATCATCATTATCTTATAGCACCAGTAGTATCATCAGATTTACATGAGGGACGCTGGGCCCGGTTCCCAGCATGTGCTGATCTATCAATTTAACAGAGTATCTCAGGGAAAGCTGGACCCTCTTCCCAGCAGGTGTAGCTCCCCACCAATAGACTGGAGCCCCCTGCAAGACAGGTAGGAGTGTATGCTCCTATCATCACTCCTATCTGTTGTCGCAGGTGGTATTAATTAAAAA